TCCACTGTTCCTATCACGCATTTCCCTTTGATGGACTGGGGTATAGTTTGAAGTTTGAGGCAGGGTCTGGAATTTGTATGCCTTGTATTGTATGTTTTTCACTTTTATACAGGCTTCTTTCATAACTAGGGCCCTACCAAATTCACGGTCCATTCTGGTCAATTTCACAGCCATAGTATTTGAAAAATAAGTCAATTTATATTTTCAGATGTTTACATCTGAAATTTCACAGTGTTACATAAGAATGGCCATACTGGGTCAGACCAAAGGTCCATCTAGCCCAGTATCCTGTCTTCTAACAGTTGCCAATGCCAGGTGCTTTAGAGGGAATGAACAGAACAGGTAATTACCAAGTGATTCATCCCCTGTTGCCCAATCCCAGCTTCTGGCAAACAGAGGCTAGGGAGCCCATCCCTGCCCATCCTGGCTAATAGCCATTGATGGACCTATCCTCCATGAATTTATATAGTTCTTTTTTGAACTCTGTTATAGTCTTGGCCTTCACAACATCCTCTGGCAGAGAGTTCCACAGGTTGAACATGCGTTGTGTGAAGAAATACTTCCTTTTGTTTGTTTTAAACCTGCTGCCTATTAATTTCATTTGGTGACCCCTAGTTCTTGTGTTATGATGATGTTTTGTAACCGTGGGGGTCCTGACCCAAAAGAGGGTTGTGGAGGGGGGAGCTCAAATCTGTTGTAGGGCAGTTGCAGGATTGCCATCCTCACTTCTACACTGCCAGAGCTGGGCTTTGAAGGCAGCAGCCATGGCGCTTCCTGCAGCCGGAGGAGGATCCTGGATGGGGAGGTGGGTCTGACCAACCCTGTGTTGCTGGGAGTGCTCCAGCTGGGGGCTCCTAGCTGCTAGTTCTAGCCAGGCTGGGGAGGGACAGGACTTGCTCTTCCCCTGCCTGTCTGCTTTCAGGGGAGATCAGCCTCACCTCCGGATACCTCCTCCGGCTGCAGGAAGGGCCAGGGCTGCCCCTCTGCTTCCCCTCCAATAGCTAGATTTCACAGAAGAGGGTTTATTTCATGGTCTATGATACGTCCATGAATTTGGTAGGGCCCTATTCATAACCCGGGGCTAGACTGCGACTACTCCTTATATGGCCATGCAGTAAGAGGAAGGAATAAGGAGCCTCCACCCCACTATTGCAAGACCAACATAAAGGTTGATTACAATCATAGCTGCTGGGTCAGGGAAGTGCAGAGGTTGCTACTGAGTTGCTTTCACTTACTAGATATGGGTATTTACATTGAAATCAAATTTGCTTATTTAAATATTGTAGCACTGTAATTTCTGCAGCTCCTGAGGGCAAATGATCTGGCTACTTCCAAGGCCTTTGTAAAGGGATAGTTGCAGCAGCTTTCTAGTGCCATAGTTCTCCAGTTTCCAGGGCCCTGGCCCTGGTGTTCATAGAAGCACAATGTGGCATAAAGCTAGGGTAAATCCTCTGTTATATAGTAACTGTGATGAAGATAAGTCATGATGTATAGGATCCTTAGGATAGTAGTCCCTGGTAGTCCAATAGTGTTTGTAACAAGGAGGTCCTCACACACAGGAGTGCTGGCAGGAAATGGAAACTTTATTTCCTAGCCCCTGTGGTCAGGTTTCTGAAGGGAACCCTCCCAATCACATAACAGGAGTCACTCCCAACTGCGTCCAGTGGTTCCCTGTTGCGGAGTTTTAACCAAGGAACTCTAGTGAAATCAGTGAGAAATAAGCAGCTAAAATCCTGCAAAATGATTTGACCTGATTCAGATATGGTTCTGATTCATCAGATGTATTTTAAATGTTTAATTTCACTGAGATAAAAATGAGATATATTATGGATGGTGTACAGTGATGCCTATGGTTAAGGTTACCTGACATTTTCCATTATTAGACCCTGTTTTCAAGTAGCTTATAACTTTAACAAACTTTAACTGCTAGGGCTGAAATTTTCTATGTCAAGATGTGTGCCTGTAAGTACTTAGAGTCTGATCCTGTATTCCTTATATAAATAAAACCTCTCATTGATTTCAGTGGACTTTTTGTGTATACCAAGAAATCAGAAGTGATCTTGTACTTTTATCATCATTAACTCCTCCCTAAAGCAAAACTCTCAGGGTGAAATCCTGGTCCCACTGAAGTCAATAGGAACCAAGCTTTCACCCCTCAATGATTTCAGTGAGGAAGGACTAAAGACTTCAGGATTTGGCCCTTGTTAAACAGTAAAATTAACAGGACCCAAAATTCCATCTGTCCTTGTATTATGACTGAATATCGGTATGCACTTTGACTGTGTTCAGTCTGTATTGTGCCTGCATATTTTAAAGCTCACTCCATTTTTGATTTACATACCCCTACAGAGTATAAAACTGAGGTCTAATTATACATGGGAGAAAAGGAGCTGCTGAATTGCAAAACCAATTTTATGGGAGAGAAATTACTTTTACTAATTCTCCTCTATCAAAGTACATAGAGAAGCTAATCAATTGTACAACCTTTAGGATACTCTAATTCTGAAATGTAAAAATGTCATTGAAAAAAATGTAAGAAAGGGTTTTGTCATTCATATCACACAAGTATGAACCTATGCTGTTTTCTATGAACACCACCCATCCATATTTTATTGCTGCTTCAGGCAATAGGCAATATTTTTATTTTATAGGAAATTAAAAAATAGGTCCCATGTGAAAAGCTGGATTATCTTTAACTCCTATATTTTCACAGACTGCACCCCCACTGCAGACCACTGAGGATCCACTGTCTATGGTGTGCATATTAAGAAATCAGGATGTTGCAAAAGTATAGTATTGCTTTTAGGGCTGTCAGTTAATCGCAGTTAACTCACAAAAATTAATCACAATTAATCACTATTTTAATCATGCTGTTAAACAATAGAATACCAGTTGAAATTTATTAAATATTTTGGATGTTTTTCTACATTTTCATGTATATTGTATTTTGTATTTTAAATCAAAGTGTATATTATTTTTATTACAAATATTTGCACTGTAAAAATTATAAACAAAAAATTAGTATTTTTCAATTCACTTCATACAAGTACTGTAGTGCAATCTCTTTGCTGTGAAAATGGAACTTACAAATGTATATTTTGTTTTGTTACATAACTGCACTCAAAAACAAAACAATGTAAAACTTCAGAGCCTACAAGTCCACTCAGTCCTACTTCTTGTTCAGCCAATTGCTAAGACAAACAAGTTTGTTTACATTTACAGGAGATAATGCTGCCCTCTTCTTGTTTATAGTGTCACAAGAAAGTGAGAACAGGCATTTGTGTGGCACTTTCGTAGCTGGCATTGCAAGGTATTTACATGTCAGATATGCTAAACTTTCATATGGCCTTCATGCTTTGGCCACCATTCCAGAGGACATGCTTCCATGCTGATGACGCTCATTTAAAAAAAATAATGTGTTAATTAAATTTGTGACTGAACTCCTTGGGTGAAAATTGTATGTCCTCTGCTCTGTTTTACCCGCATTCTGCCATATATTTCATGTTATAACAGTCTCAGAGGATGACCCAGCACACATTGTTCATTTTAAGAATACTTTCACTGCAGATTTCACAAACCGCAAATAAGGTACCAATGTGAGATTTCTAAAGATAGCTAAAGCACTTGACTCAAGGTTAAAGAATCTGAAGTGCCTTCCAAAATCTGAGAGGGACGTGGTATGGAGCATGCGTTCAGAAGTCTTAAAAGAGCAACACTCCAATGCAGAAACTACAGAACCCGAACCACCAAAAAAGAAAATCAACCTTCTGCTGGTGGCATCTGACTCATATAATGAAAATGAACATGTGTCAGTCTGCACTGCTTTGGATCGTCATTGAGCAGAACCCGTCATCAGTATGGACACATCTCCCCTGGAATGGTGGTTGAAGCATGAAGGGACATATGAATCTTTAGCGCATTTGGTACGTAAATATCTTGCGACGCCGACTACAACAGTGCCATGAGAATGCCTGTTCTTATTTTCAGTTGACATTGTAAACCAGAAGCGGGCAACATTATATCCTTCAAATGTAAACAAACTTTTTACATTTGTCTGAGTGATTAGCTAAACAAGAAGTAGGACTGCTCTTCTTCACACAGCACACAGTCAACTTGTGGAACTCCTTACCTGAGGAGGTTGTGAAGGCTAGGACTATAACAGGGTTTAAAAGAGTACTGGATAAATTCATGGAGGTGAAGTCCATTAATGGCTATTTGCCAGGATGCATAAGGAATGATGTCCCTAGCCTCTGTTTGTCAAAGGGTGGTGATAGATGGCAGGAGAGAGATCACTTGATCATAGATTCACTCCCTCTGGGGCACCTGGTATTGGCCACTGTCAGTAGACAGGATACTGGGCTGGATGGACCTTTGGTCTGACCCAGTACGGCCATTCTTATGTTCTTATGACTGAATGGACTTGCAGGCTTAACAAGATTACCTTGTTTTATTTTTGAATGCAGTTTTATTGTACATAATTCTGCAATTTTAAGTTCAACTTTCATGCTAAAGAGATTGCACTACAATACTTGTATTAGGTGAATTGAAAAATACTATTTCTTTTGTTTTCTTACAGTGCAAATACTTGTAATCAAAAATAAATATAAAGTGAGCACTGTACACTTTGTACTCTGTGTTGTATTTGAAATCAATATATTTGAAAATGTAGAAAACATCAAAAATAATTTAAATACATTATATTCTATTATTGTTTAATAGTGCAATTAATCGTGCGATTAATTGTGATTAATTTTTTTAATTGCTTGACAGTCCTAATTGCTTTATGGAGACACTTCTGTTCCGTACTGTAGGTTTCCTGACCTTCCTACTGATAGGGAGAATAGCAGATCCCTATAATCTATCACCCTAATGATGGAAACATAAGGCCTTACATAAATTGCAGATTATATCCTTGATTATATCATACACACACACACACTAAATGCTATCCAGTGACAATAAATGCCACTCTACATGTTTGATTTTACTAAGTACAATACCTTAGTTCTTTTTCTTGCACGCTGAGAGCACTTTTCGTGGGTGACAGGCTGCTGCATGTGTCCTGATGTGAATGACATGCACCTTGGAGAGAAGCCCTCCTGTAATAGCTTCTGCAATCCGAATCTTGATAGTTGGGGGGAAAAATAAATTAGAAATAGCCAAAAGGCATGAAATCAGTTTCATAGAAAAGAAACCGTTTATTATAGTAATTGAAAATACCAGTGTTGGGAAGTGATCATCTAACTTCATGGCATCAAAGGTTTTATGAACTTAAGTAATAGCTAATAAGCAAGTTGGACACAAATTGATTTTTAGTTATTTCTATAATTAAATTGCATTAGTTTCAAGATCATCAGAATTACAGCATCAAGATCACATTCTGATTTTCTGTATCCTTCAAATATAAGTTAGAGATATTTGGGGCACTATCTTTAGCATATTCACAAACTAAGGAACAATTTATGTTTCTCAGTTAAGGAACAAACTACCATTTGGAGATGTAGGAAACTGAATCTCAGTTTTCCAATCAAATTTGAAAAGGTATTTAATTGATGATGTCTTAATTATGTTTGTGTTTAAAGCATGAGTGCTATGTGAAGTTTAATTCCACCTCCTATAGGACCACATGGTCACTTTCCTGATAGGATGTTGACATGTCATTTGTACTCCACAAAGTATAGATTCTGATACCCTTTTTTAATATTGTTAAGCAACATCTTTTAATCCACAAGTAGTTCCACTGATTCACTATAAGTAAGGGTATCATAATCCAGCCCTAAGTCAACAGAACTTTTCTTCCATTGTTTAGAAGAGTTCATGTGATACCCCCCACCCCTTATCCTTTCCTTCCCTCCACATACATTGTTCTGATCAGTTGTTAGGGGGGTTAGTTTAATTTCCCTTCAAAAGTATTCACTTTGGGAGACTGCCAAATTGTCTGGTTGGCTGCCAGAGAAGGAAATTAGGTCTTATCTTTTACTTTGAATAAAAGAAACAAAACAAAGATAGCACTTTGGAGACAATGGGATCTTGTTCATTTCCTATTTCATGAGCAATACTCCCTTAAAAGCTGTTCAAGTTCATGTGAATTTGCCTTGATCATCCCCTACTGTTTTCACTTCCTGGAGCAGCTTGGTAACCTTCCCCCACTCATGCAGTACATACAATCCCTGGCCCACAATGATACAAAAATAATTCACACACTTAATATAATATAGTCTCCCAAAGACATTGCAGAAAGTTGCCCTATCTGTCACAGGACTATTCCTACATTGTTCAAAAATGATCAGTAGAAAACATGTTAACTGTTGATTTTTCTCTTGAAATGAGCAATAGAATATTTCCTTGAAAAGTGTTTGTTGTCCTTTCTTACCATAGAAGTACAGCACAACACTGACTACAGTCCAATGTCACTCCTATACTTAAAAAAAGTGTAAACATTTACAATTATATTTATGTATAATCAGGAAGCCACTAAAAGAAGTGTTCAAATTTCAAATATGTAAAAGTCAGTCTACCACGTGTAAAATGTAACAGTGCTAAAGGTGTGACTTTGGATCCCAGTGTTAGAATGACACTAATTTTTTTAACCTAACCTTTTTTTCCCCTGAGCAAGTTTATTGTTTGCAAAATGTACTATATTGACTGCTCTGAGGAGCCGCAGCCCAGGCTGAGCCCAGCTCGTGTCAGGGCCAAGGCGAAGCCCAAGGATGAGCAGGGCTGGGATACAGCAGCAGCCCCAACCCCTGGCCCTGGGAGCGGCGGTGACCGAAGATGATTCCACCTCAGGCCAGATCCGCAGCAAGGTAAGAGTCGGGCCAGGCGGGAGTGTCCCCAGGATCCCTGGGGAGCTTCTGCCTGCTGGAGCCCTAGAGGCTGCTGCCTCCCTCCCCAGCCCCTCACAGCACTCCAGTGTCTGGAGTCTCCTTCTGCCTCCCCTCCTGCAGGGGGCGAGCGACCTGGCAGAGAGGGGCAGCATCTGCCCAGCAAGCCCAGCACCTCTTCCTTGGCTCCTCCAGCCACAGAGCTCCCTCCATTGCATGCCCCTCGGGCTCCCAGCTGGGCAGCCTTAGCGCTGGGAAAACGCCAGCAGGGCTGGGTCCAGTGTGTATCCGAGCTCGTGGGGAGCGCTCTCGCCCCAATGACTAGCGCCTTACCTACGGCAAGTAAAGTAGTGCAATAGGAGTGTGACGTGAAAAATATCAAATCACGATTACGTGTGTGTACTGTGCTGCCCTATCGGCGCCATTCGCACTAATTTCCGTTTTGCATTGGTGCCAGTGGTTATAGGGCTAAAATGCCGGGACAAACGCAAATGACTTTCTGGTGCTGCTTACTGGCAACAAAGAGAGAAATGGCAAAAAGAATTAGAAAAACTATCTTGTACTTCAAAAAAGTATTTTAAAAAAGTCGATAATCAAGGAGAAAGCTCTAAGCAATGCACTGAAGGTGATTATTCATCAACTGATGAAGACTGATCGAACCAAAGATTACCTTTATCAATTGATAAAGATGAACAACAATCTGACCAAAGATTATCTTCACTAACTGATAAAGACGAACAATCACAATCCAAAGATTTATTACTTCAGCTGAAGAGTCCAGAAATGAAGAACTGTTATCCAAGTACATGGCCGACAATAATTACTGATACAATGCGAATTATTATTGCGAAAAAAGGTCCTTCAAAACTAGATCCTACATTTGAATATCCATTTAATGAGTCGAATTGTCTATTTATGCCATCCAGTATGAAGAAAAAAATGAAAAATGGGGAACAAATTAATAGATCGTGGTTAGTGTATTCACAGACCAAAGATGTAGTTTTTTGTTTTTGCTGCAAACTGTTCTGTAACTCGGACATTTTTCTGGCAACTGCAGGTTTTAATGACTGGCGAAATTTGCATCAGCATTTGAAAGAACATCAAAAAATCATTTATGCTCATTGACAAATTGGATTGAGCTGTCAAACCGGTACAACAATCGATGCGGTACAGCAACGTCAACTAAATTCAGAAATTCTACGTTGGCAAGCAGTGTTGGAACATTTACTGGCAATCATTAATTTCCTAGCCAAACAGTGCCTCGCATTCCGTGGATCCTCGGATATTTTATAGGAGAATAACAATGGAAATTTCTTAAAATTGGTTGAGTTATTGGCAAAATTTGATAATGTTATGGCTGAGCATATACGAAGAGTGAAAGATGGAGAGATTCACACCCATTATTTGGGTAAAAATACACAAAATGAGATAATAGAATTAATTTCTAATGGAGTGCGTAATGAAATTTTATTGAATTTGAAACATGCCAAATATTACTCAATTATAATTGATTGTACTCAAGATCTGAGCAAAACTGAGCAAATGTCAATAGTTTTACGATTTCTGAAAATTGATGAAAATGCAGAAGTGAAAATTTGTAAACACTTTCTAGAATTTATACCAGTGAATGAAACTACTGGGAAAGCCCTCACAGATGTAATTCTACAGAGATTGGAACAATATGGAATAACTTTAGAAAATATCGCGGCCAAGGGTACGATAATGGCTCAAACATGCGAGGACGACATGCAGGTGTACAGCAAAGAATATTGAATTTAAACAATCGAGCTTTTTTCATTCCTTGCCATGCACATTCACTCAATCTGGTTGTCAGCGATGCCGCCAAATCATCTAAAGATGCCGTTTCATATTTTACCACAGTGCAAGCAATTTACAACTTTTTTAGTGCTTCCACACACCGTTGGGCAGTCTTGAAGAAGCATCTTGAACAAAAACTCACACTTAAACCTCTGAGTCAAACTAGATAGGAAAGCAGGATAGAAGCTATTAGACCATTCCGATATTCATCAGGAGAGATTTACGATGCTCTATTCGAAATAAGCCAGGACTTGTCGTCTGATCCTTCATTTCGACATGAAGCTGAAACATTGGCTCAGAAAATGATGCAGTTTCAATTTTCATGTTGCACGGTTATTTGGCACAATATTCTAAATCAAATTAATTTGACCAGCGAAGTTATGCAGAACATAACCATAGACATATCTGAGGCAAAGACTCATAGACTCATAGACTCATAGACTC